TACATTTACATTAGCTAATGCAGTTATCATAAACGGTAACACTTTACTTGAAGGGGTGTACATAAGACTGACATGACACCTTCATAATCATGATATGACACGTCATGAATATGAAGGAGGTTTTATGCATGTTTATGACAACTGTCATTAAGTGTCATTCGCTCAGTTATGTCATTTTTAATGTAAATATGACATTATTTGACATAACCCTAACCTAACCCTACCCCTACCCTTAACCATAGCCCATAATAAAGACATCTCAAACAATGTCATCTTTGTATTAAAAATTACATAACTGAGTGAATGACACTTAATGACAGTTGTCATAAACATGCATAAAAACCCTTCATATTCATGACATGTGTCATGTCATGATTATGTAGGTATCATGTCATGATTATGAAGGTGTCATGTCAGTCTTATGCACACCCCTTCAAGTAAAGTGTAACCTCATAAACTAATAAAAAACAAGATTTACCAAAACAAATAATATTGAAAAAAAATTCACTCAGAAATTTTAAAAGTAATTAAAAGTAATTGTATTAAGCGGGAATTCTGAAGTAGAAAAAACTGAATTAGTATTTTCTTATCAAACCATTAATCTTTGTTTCATCTGCAACTTTAAAAAATATATTACAGCTAGTTACATATATATTATAGCTTAGTACAAATATATATCACAGCTTAGTTAATTTTATATTATTATTCTTTATATTATTAAGATTAAAAAATGCTAAAAGTATGGTTCATTATGTCATGATACCTTGTGCATTTACTGACAAATTAAACTATGTTGTAAAGTGTTACCTTTAAAGCTACATAAGCATGAGAGGTTAAATAAACGAACACTCCAATAGCAGTTAAAGTCTTAGAACATTTTATTGTTGTTTAAACACCCGTCCCACCCCAACCCTCAGTTCCCCATGAAATATATGCCTCTGTGTCCTCTTCCTGTCCCACAAACACATGGTCAAAAACACAGTTCTTTTTCAGTTCATTCAGCATCATACAGAAACACTTGGAAGGAAACTAAACTAATAAAACAAAAACAAGGACCTGGCTCAACAGTTGTCAAGAGTGGCTAAAGTCCTTCCTCTCTCATAGTGACACCCTAGGGATAGTTATGCATGACTACCATTAGAAGCTGGCTAATGTCTTTGGAATGAGCATGGTGTAAAAAAAAACAAACAAAAAAAAAACAATCATTGGAGGGTTTTAAAGTGACTGAATGGGCCTTCTGAAGGGGCGACTTTGGAATGGCTTTTAGAAATCCTCCTCAGCTGACCGAGCATTTGTCAGATCTTTTGGCGGCATATATATAGGAAATAGGTCTTATACAGTACATTCAACTCTTTCTGTCACTTTTCAATTGTTAAATCTGGCCGAACAAACTTTATTCACATACTATTCAAAGAACACAAATATACATCTATATGTACACATACTTTCCACTTGAGATCTGAGTGTCCAGGCACTTTCCAAGAAAGTCCACAGGGGGATTTGGTGAAGAAAGTCACAACACTGTCATTATAATCGGTTCAATCAATATTTTCTCTGGCTCCCTTAGAGAAACAGTTTCTCCAAAAATGAATATTCTGTCATCATATTGTCCCAAATCCCATAAGATTGTAAATCAAAATGTATCCTTTGTGTTTCACAGTAGAAATGATGTCATATCGGTTTGGAAAAGTAAATAATGGCAGATTTCTCATTTTTGAGTGAGCGGTCCCTTTAACTACAATAGCTTGTTAACACCATCAGTCATCTGATGCGGTCGTGAGCTGTCAGTCAGTGCGGACTGAGGCAGGCTGACATCTGAGATGGTTTATGCAGAGTAATGTAATCAATGGGAAAACGCCTCTGTGGTTTGCTAACTTGGCATCTTGCTGATATGGCAATTTCACAGTTGGGGGTCATAACAATTTGAGAGATCTGTGTTTTTGTGTAATACTGATGTGGATACTCTGACTATCCTATTCAGTTCTTTTAGTTTAAACTACTGTAATTCAACGGTGGTAAATTCAATGGTATTTTTATCTCCTGGCTGTTAGCTCTACTTACTGCACTAAACTGTCTGGCACCTTCCACAAATTAATTACAAATTACAGTCTGAAGCTCTTAAAGAAATGACTTTTTCTTTTCTTTTCAACCAACAGTGAAAGAAGGTTCTTTGACTTTTATGAAAATTTAGATTTTCAACCTCAGAAATTCCAATGAAATTTTACAGTATATAAGAGGTTTTTAATACATTTTCTGTGGGACATTCTTTGGTAACTCCGTTACCAATCTTTGAGAATCTTAAAGCAAGTTTAAAAGCAAGACATTTTGATGATTTGATTTTACAATGTGGCAACAAAAACAAAAACAATGTAACTGTATAACTAAATATATAGCGTTAATAATGGATTTCTGAGGGAGTGAAAGGCCAGAATTACTATCTTAAACAGAAATTCGACAAGCTAACATAGGATTTGTACCTCTGATGCTTGAAAAAAACATCATCAGACACCACAGTACTGTGTTCATGAATTGCACACTTGACAATCAGATGATAAAGCATTGTGTATCCAGGCTCTTAAAATGGCAAATAAAAAACCATCAAATACAGCAATGCAACAGAAATGGACTGTGAATATGTAAACTTAAAGGGATGCTTTGAAAAATCTTGAGCCCAGGATTCAGCTGTACACTCAAAGCTGCATAACTATTAAACAAATCCACTGAAAGAACACGAGTCAGTCCGATAAATAGTTACAAGTGAAAAGAAGAAGATTGCCGGTGTTCCTTCTGGTCCATTTCTCCTCACTTCTGACAGTTTCGCCTCGTCTTGTTGTAAAAGAGACTATTAACTGCGCTCTCTCAAAACCATTGAGTGAGAGGATAAAGGTCAGGGTGTAATCCACCGCAAGCTTTAGAATGCCATCGTGTCTGCCCCTAATGTACTTCCTTTGCTTTAAGCACACAGGCCACTGTTAGCACTTGAGACTTGCACCTTAAGACGTAAGAGATTTCCATCAGACGTTAAGTATATATATATATATATATATATATATATATATACACAAGTGAGAGGAAAAAGACAACAGTTACAGCAAGATAGGAAAGCCACAGTGGGGCAAAGTGGCCGCCCAACTCTCCTGTCAATTTCCTCGAGACATATGGCACCATATATAGTAATAAACTCCACCTCCAATGATACAAGAACCAATCCTCAGAGAAAAGTACCCATGAGGGAGACATGTCTCACTAAACGTTGGTGAAACAGCGTGACCTTTGCATTGAAGAGGAATCGGCGTCTTGATAGGCAGTTGATGGAAAGCTGTCTGCTGGTTGAATCGGTGTGTGTGGATGTCAGCGTTTGTGCATGCATGTGTGTGTTTGCCCTTTTGGCGCTTTTTAAGGGGCATGGCAATTGCCCGACTTCTTTTTAAGAGCCACAGTAAAGACGCCCAACTCTCAACTCCACTGCACTGCACATGAAGAGACCTTCTCCAAGTGATGCTTATTTTTGCTCCTCAGTCCAGCCAGCCAGAGAGAAACAGGCAGGTGTAAAATAAAACTGGCATTTTTAGAAACGGCCCACTATCTCTGCGAGCAGAGATAAACCAACCACACTGCACCAAGCCAGGCTCTGGAATCGCTCACAGTTCTGAGGAAAATATGCTGAAAATATCCTAAACCGAAAAAACAGCCATGTCACAGAAGGGTGTAACATATTTAGGTGTTTGGGGCAAAGAAGGCAGAAAACTCTACTCCGCTCTCCACCTCCAATGATACAAGAACCAATCCTCAGAGAAAAGTACCCATGAGGGAGACATGTCTCACTAAACGTTGGTGAAACAGCGTGACCTTTGCATTGAAGAGGAATCGGCGTCTTGATAGGCAGTTGATGGAAAGCTGTCTGCTGGTTGAATCGGTGTGTGTGGATGTCAGCGTTTGTGCATGCATATGTGTGTTTGCCCTTTTGGCGCTTTTTAAGGGGCATGGCAATTGCCCGACTTCTTTTTAAGAGCCACAGTAAAGACGCCCAACTCTCAACTCCACTGCACTGCACTTCTCCAAGTGATGCTTATTTTTGCTCCTCAGTCCAGCCAGCCAGAGAGAAACAGGCAGGTGTAAAATAAAACTGCCATTTTTAGAAACGGCCCACTATCTCTGCGAGCAGAGATAAACCAACCACACTGCACCAAGCCAGGCTCTGGAATCGCTCACAGTTCTGAGGAAAATATGCTGAAAATATCCTAAATCGAAAAAACAGCCATGTCACAGAAGGGTGTAACATATTTAGGTGTTTGGGGCAAAGAAGGCAGAAAACTCTACTCCGCGTAATGCCTTACTTTACTAGTTACTTGAAAAAAGTAATCTGATTATGTAACTCACGTTACTTGTAATGCGTTACCCCCAACACTGCAAATCATTATTTTATTTTTAGAGCCGTCCGTTTTTTTTTACATTAACATTCAGCAAATTTGATAATATTCTTAAAAAAACTGGACATAAATCATTAATTAGTATTATTTTATTGTATCTGCATATGGTTTTGTAAAAAAAACAAACATCAGATAACACAATGACAATACAAAAGCAAACAAATTTAATTGAGGAAACAATGACAATTTTGTTATCTTCTAAATTTCACATTTATTTATTCATTCATTCATTTATTTATTTACACATGGTATAAGTATTTATATATGAAAATATTAAGCAAACTTTCTATATTAGTTAGGAGGTCCCTGATCATATTTGAGGTTCTCTGGCATCCAAAAGATTGAAAACCCCTCATTGGGGCCAGGAAAAAGTGAGTGGGCCTGTCAATTTTCTAGATAAGCCCTGGTCTACGGTACAGACTGTAGCTAAACTGATGCTTTTGGCATTTGGCCGTTAAATTCAAAGGCAAGACTTCCTTTTGCGATTCCTCCCATTTGTTTTGCAACCAATAATCTCTTTATTCTTTCTCTGAATAGATCTGTTTTAGTTTGATTTCACTGGCAATGAACTTAGGTACCTACCAGTGTCTCCACCATGTTGGGTTTAGCATTACGAAGGGTTTTGACGGCATAGAAGACGTCCACCATGTTCTGGTACTGGATCATCTCCATCAGGATGTTGCTGGCACAGTACGTTCCACTGCGGCCACCGCCGTTCCTAGACAGACAAGAATACAACAAACCCGGCTGTCATGAGTAAAGATGAGACACTGAGGATAGTGGAGAAACAGATCTGTCTACAGCAGAAATTTCTCATATCCAGTTAATATTAAACCAGCCTGCACCAGAGGCATACAAAGAGCTTTTTGAAGATCCGCCGAGGTCTTCTGCTATGTATGCGTACAGCATGACGGCGGCAGCTAGATGAGGCAATGGTGAGATAATCAATCGCAGTCAGTGCTTTGGCAGCTCTGGATTTAGCGCTGAGAAAGGCCTGTGCTGTTCTGTATTAAAGCATAATTGATTTCATCTCCATAATCTCTTCTCTTTGCCTGTGGTTGGTAACACTGTGTGACAGTTTTGAGTGATGTGCTTCTGGGCGGTGATGGGAAGCGAATTCGTGCCTGGGGTTCCAGATGAGCCGGTGGGCAGAAGGGGAAACGAAGCCATGGGATGCCTTACTTTACTAGTTACTTGAAAAAAGTAATCTGATTATGTAACTCACGTTACTTGTAATGCGTTACCCCCAACACTGCAAATCATTATTTTATTTTTAGAGCTGTCCGTTTTTTTTTACATTAACATTCAGCAAATTTGATAATATTCTTAAAAAAACTGGACATAAATCATTAATTAGTATTATTTTATTGTATCTGCATATGGTTTTGTAAAAAAAAAAACATCAGATAACACAATGACAATACAAAAGCAAACAAATTTAATTGAGGAAACAATGACAATTTTGTTATCTTCTAAATTTCACATTTATTTATTCATTCATTCATTTATTTATTTACACATGGTATAAGTATTTATATATGAAAATATTAAGCAAACTTTCTATATTAGTTAGGAGGTCCCTGATCATATTTGAGGTTCTCTGGCATCCAAAAGATTGAAAACCCCTCATTGGGGCCAGGAAAAAGTGAGTGGGCCTGTCAATTTTCTAGATAAGCCCTGGTCTACGGTACAGACTGTAGCTAAACTGATGCTTTTGGCATTTGGCCGTTAAATTCAAAGGCAAGACTTCCTTTTGCGATTCCTCCCATTTGTTTTGCAACCAATAATCTCTTTATTCTTTCTCTGAATAGATCTGTTTTAGTTTGATTTCACTGGCAATGAACTTAGGTACCTACCAGTGTCTCCACCATGTTGGGTTTAGCATTACGAAGGGTTTTGACGGCATAGAAGACGTCCACCATGTTCTGGTACTGGATCATCTCCATCAGGATGTTGCTGGCACAGTACGTTCCACTGCGGCCACCGCCGTTCCTAGACAGACAAGAATACAACAAACCCGGCTGTCATGAGTAAAGATGAGACACTGAGGATAGTGGAGAAACAGATCTGTCTACAGCAGAAATTTCTCATATCCAGTTAATATTAAACCAGCCTGCACCAGAGGCATACAAAGAGCTTTTTGAAGATCCGCCGAGGTCTTCTGCTATGTATGCGTACAGCATGACGGCGGCAGCTAGATGAGGCAATGGTGAGATAATCAATCGCAGTCAGTGCTTTGGCAGCTCTGGATTTAGCGCTGAGAAAGGCCTGTGCTGTTCTGTATTAAAGCATAATTGATTTCATCTCCATAATCTCTTCTCTTTGCCTGTGGTTGGTAACACTGTGTGACAGTTTTGAGTGATGTGCTTCTGGGCGGTGATGGGAAGCGAATTCGTGCCTGGGGTTCCAGATGAGGCGGCTCGGTGGGCAGAAGGGGAAACGAAGCCATGGGGGAAGTGAAGGGTGCGGTTAAAAGGATAATGACCATGTTAACACCTAGGCTAAGATCAGTGAGTCTGGGCATGAGTGAAGTCCCTGTTTAGAAAATTATTTTATTTGAGAGCCGTTTTGTTTGTTTAATTGTTCATGTCAGAATATTGTTCATGATCTGTTTGCAAAGGTACACAGAAATATATCATCTCTTATCTGGCTCACTGGCAAACAGAGATAGGGGTCACGGCACACACAGATAATACATTTCATCTCCATAATCTCTTCTCTTTGCCTGTGGTTGGTAACACTGCGTGACAGTTTTGAGTGATGTGCTTCTGGGCGGTGATGGGAAGCGAATTCGTGCCTGGGGTTCCAGATGAGCCGGTGGGCAGAAGGGGAAACGAAGCCATGGGGGAAGTGAAGGGTGCGGTTAAAAGGATAATGACCATGTTAACACCTAGGCTAAGATCAGTGAGTCTGGGCATGAGTGAAGTCCCTGTTTAGAAAATTATTTTATTTGAGAGCCGTTTTGTTTGTTTAATTGTTCATGTCAGAATATTGTTCATGATCTGTTTGCAAAGGTACACAGAAATATATAATCTCTTATCTGGCTCACTGGCAAACAGAGATAGGGGTCACGGCACACACAGATAATACTGTGTGTGAAGACAAGGATGAAGTTTGCCATTCAAGGGCACAATGGCCATCACCCAGGCCGTAGGAGCAAGGAGCTTCAACAATATGCAAGGCAGGAACATCACCTAATGGTCAACGTGCATTTTGTCATTCAGAGTAACTGCTTTTTTTATTAGCTCATTTATTTCTGCTCTTCAGTGTTAATACAATGCTTTTATCTTTCCCTTTTTTCCCTTTTTGATTTGGCTTATACTGTAATTTCTCTTATTTCTGTTTTAGCTGTATAGAAGTTTATGGCCGGGTTGTGCACCATTCACCTTGAGGGCTCGGGACACGGTGAAAGTCTTCACTCGAGCCCTACCCCTACGACGGCCCGGGAAAGCATAGCCATTATTTCTGGATCCGATTCATGCAGTGCTACGGTCCCGGAGGAGAGCAGCGCAGCCGAATCTTCCTCTCCAGAAAGCTCTGGCCTCAAACCTTAAAAATCTGACCCCGAACTTCTGAATGTAAATTCCAGTAAATTCCACTTCCTGTAGTTCCAATTGAACTTGTTTCCAAATAAACTCTAAAATAATAAAATCTCAAATTGGAAAGTGTTTGGAAACACTGGCTCATGGATCTTCCACTACTTTTATTACTGATGAAGAGTGCCGGTGCACCTGCTAGACCAGACATACATCTCACCGTGCAAATAGAAAAAAATTATGACTTGTACGTTCTTTTTACGCGTTGCGTTGCATATCGCGCCGCGTAAACATAAAACATGTTGTGATCGGAGAACCGACAAACAACAAGCGCTACCCTACACTGCTCAAAGCTCACGTTTGAATCGTCAGTGGCAAACTCTTTTAATATGAAAACGTACTTACAGGCTGTGAGTCAGAAGCGCCAGACTGTCCATGCAAAGTTGGAACTGCCCCACTTTATAGAAACAGCCTCTGTGTGTAGACGGCATTATAGGCTACTTTCCCAGGTTCAGGAAACAGTCCTCCGTAAAATGTGCTGCACACATCTGAATATTTGGGTTGTCCTCTTTTGGAAGGCCAAACAAAGTAGTTTCGCTTTCACACCGAAACACACAGCGTCTCCATGACATGGCGGCGGCGGCAGCAACAATACTACAGCGAGAATAAACGTCATGCCTTCTTTCTTTGTGTAAACATTTGGGCGGTGTTATGCAAATCTTCCCACACAGTGACGTAGACATGTGGGGCCGTGTTTAAATGAGGCGTTTTAGGAGGGTGTGGATGAGTCTTAACTTTTATAAAGAATATCTCTTTGGGTTTGAGACTTTAGTCTTTGCAACTTTAGGGATCTTATCTATGCACGAACAGCTTGTAACACTCCAAAGAGAAAGGAAAACTTTAAATCGGATCTTATGACCCCTTTAAATCAGAAGCGTACAAAAACAGTAACACTAACATTCTCCACCACACAATCTAAGTAATAGAGATGTCACATTTGAATAATACACTCACCCATAATCACAAGCGCACCCATCCACACACCCCCTTAATTCCCTCTACAGCACTGGAAATGCCTTCCCCCCCACTCAATCGTCTTAGTTTCTAACGTTCCACAGACACGCTGCATGCCAAAGCATTATAACACTGTGACATCTGTCAAAAGTACATCGAGCTGAGAGAAAAATGCAGGCATCTACTAGGCAAAGAGCACTGCTATAAAAAATTAGCAGAACAAAAAATAAAAAATTAGCCCTTAGAATAATAACAAGCTGGGGCAAATTGAAAGTGGTAAAAATGACCTTCAGTGGCATACTCATTAATGTATATTTCATATCTGCAGGCTTATAAAAACGTATTTAGGCATCTGTCCTTGCCTGTGAAAGTGCCGCCATATGAAGTGTTATGTGCTGATGGTATGAAAATTGATATTTTGAAATAGATTTTCCTCTGTTCTTTAATTGATCTTGTAGCTTTGGCTGACAAAATATATTGGACTGACAAACCCTATTTATTAAACTCTTTATCTTGTAGTCTATTAAATCGTGATCTGAATGTAACATGGCATAATAGCTAACGGAGTAATGTAAAACGCCTCAAAACGCTTTCAAAGCTTTTCAAATATTACATAAAAGTTTTTTTTTTAACTTGTGGAATTAAGCTGACAGTTAAATGGCACAACATAATGATATACTGGTTCCAAGGTATGAAAAATGTATTATCGCCGAATATCATTTAAACCCTGTGGTGGTAATTCAAGGAATTCTCCCAGGAAATTACTTTGGAATCTACTTTGCATTTTTAGAAAGAACATTAAGAGGCTCATTTGCACAGCTGGATGACATTTTACCTTATGTATACCTTTAGAGGCCCAAAAGGATCAAGTGAGTAAACTTTATTTTTTAAAAATGCTTCTGTATGATGTAATTTAGCATAATTGCTCAATTAAAGCAATTTTATGAAGTGAGTAAAAATGATGATTGATTAACTTTCTGTTAACTTAAGGGTATATTAAGGGTCTGCTAGGGCTACAATGTAATAAGGTAATGTGAGGAAAACTTCTTATATGTTAAAAAGTGAATTATCATTTATGGAACTCACTCTTGTCACATTTTTGACCCGGAAAAGTCGGGTGATGATGTCCTCATCTGCAGACATGGACAGAAACTCCACTTGCATAGGACCATACTGCTGAAGACCTGGTTCAGGCCAGTACTGCACACAAGGCTGGAAAGATAGAAGAAAACCGAATGAGATATACAGTGGGTACGGAAAGTATTCAGACCCCCATACATTTTTCACTCTTTGTTATATTGCAGCCATTTGCTAAAATCATTTAAGTAAATTTTTTTCCTCATTAATGTACACACAGCACCCCATATTGACAGAAAAACACAGAATTGTTGACATTTTTGCAGATTTATTAAAAAAGAAAAACTGAAATATCACATGGCCCTAAGTATTCAGACCCTTTGCTCAGTATTTAGTAGAAGCACCCTTTTGATCTAATACAGCCATGAGTCTTTTTGGGAAAGATGCAACAAGTTTTTCACATCGCCGAATATCATTTAAACCCTGTGGTGGTAATTCAAGGAATTCTCCCAGGAAATTACTTTGGAATCTACTTTGCATTTTTAGAAAGAACATTAAGAGGCTCATTTGCACAGCTGGATGACATTTTACCTTATGTATACCTTTAGAGGCCCAAAAGGATCAAGTGAGTAAACTTTATTTTTTAAAAATGCTTCTGTATGATGTAATTTAGCATAATTGCTCAATTAAAGCAATTTTATGAAGTGAGTAAAAATGATGATTGATTAACTTTCTGTTAACTTAAGGGTATATTAAGGGTCTGCTAGTGTTGCAATATAATGAGGTAACGTGAGAAAAAAAAGAAAAAACACTTATATGTAAGAAAGCAAATTATCATTGATGGAACTCACTCTTGTTACGTTTTTGACCCGGAAAAGTCGGGTGATGATGTCCTCATCTGCAGACATGGACAGAAACTCCACTTGCATAGGACCATACTGCTGAAGACCTGGTTCAGGCCAGTACTGCACACAAGGCTGGAAAGATAGAAGAAAACCGAATGAGATACAGTATAAGACAGAAGGAGCGAGAGAGAGAATGAATGAATGAATGAATCATTTCATTCATTCTCTCTCTCTCTAATTGAATAAAAAACATAATTCAGCATTACATGAGTTCAAGACATTCAAGAAGGTGTTTTAATAATTTCTTCATGGAATGTTTAAAGTAAAAAGAGAGAAGACTAGAGAAGAAAAGGAAATTAATTCTGGAGGAAAAAAGGTCTAGAGGGTTCTGCAAGGGAAAAGTGTCTAGAGTGAAAAAGGTTCTAGAGTGAAAGGGGTTCTTGAAAGAAAAGGCTTCTGAATGAAGTATATTTTACAGTATAGCTGCTGAACTTATGATGATCAAGCAGGACAGTCAGAGGCCAACCCCCCATAATCTAAAAACCCCAAAGGATTTCAATCCAAGAATGTGATGCGAAATGAATGAGATTCACCATTTTTATCATTCAATCGAATGAATATTTTGACTCATCTGTATTTGGAATATGTTGCAGCCTTGGAATTCATCATCCATACATACGAAATGCTGTAGCCTTACTAAACCAAACTGAGCTGAAATTAAACGGGCGGAGACGGTGAGAACAGGCGAGAAAGACGAAGAACATTAATGACAGCAAAGCAAGTGAGGTGATAAATATTAATACTTATGGACTGCAGAGAGCAATCGTGCGAATGAAGAAGAGGGAGAGACGTTAATCCACCACAGAGAGAAAAAGGAACAGATCGACTGCGAGAGTGACACTGAGTAACTGCCGGCATGTTAGCGCACGTCAGGGTTTTCAGAGAACCGTGATCGAGAAGAGCACTGGAACGCAACTCTGCAAACTCAAAGGGAAGCTTTATGTAAATGAGACTTGACTATATGCTTATGAATATAGAACATTTCACAAGGAGATTAACAGAAGCTGTGGACAAAATAGCTTAAACGACTTCAAAGGACATGCAATGATATGAATGCAAAAAGACAACCTATAAAGATGTATTTTGAAGAAAAACTCCCAAAGTCCTCTTGGGCGCTGTATTTAGTGGAACTTCTGGTGGCTATGCGGATGCTTTCACTTACCCAAGCAGAGTTCGATTGGTTCAGCTGATTCAGCATGACCACAGAGGTGCAGCCATAGTCAAACACCAGCCTCCAGAAGTCAGAGGTTGTGCCGGGCAGTGGGTGCGGGGTTACAATGAAGGCAGCAGGCCGGTGGAAACTATCCATCAGTGCCGCGTTAATGTAGTTGTTACTCTCTCCCTCAGTGGTGACCAGGAAGGCGAGGGCCCTGTCAGGTGGAAGAACGTCCATGCTGCGGTTCTTCTCACGGTTTCGTGGTAACAAGGCGATGCTGCACTCCTCGACGTCCAGATGAGGAGTCACAGAGTTTAGCGTCTGAGGGAAAAAGAAATGGAGGATATACTAAATAATTTCCTGTGCTTGAGGCTTCATTGACAACTTCAATGAGGTCAGTGGGTTTATTATTATCCCTGCCAATGGGTGTATTAATGCATTTCTATGACATCAAAAAGTTGCAGAAGTTCAGAGCGAGACATTTCAAATCAGTGTTTTTATAACTTGTTTTGCCTAAAGATAAACTTCTATAATGAATTATTAGTTTTTGTTAACTGAAAGAAAAGCTACATAATTAAATAAAAAATGAAAATACATAATAAAAAAAGAAGGAAAAAAGAAATGTCACCTTGGCAATTAAAATAAAATAAAATAACTAAGTTGAAGTATTAAAATGACTAAAACTGAAAAATTAATTTATGCTATATATATATATATATATATATATGAAGAGTTCAGATGCAAAAGCCTCTAAGTGCCATCTGAAATTTTCATCTAAAATTAGCGTTTTTATCAGGCTCCTATGTTTAGGTTCAGTAATTTTACTCTCATGGCAATGTATAGGTCCTTTTCTATGCAATTATCGTCTATGCAATGAACCTAAACATAGGAGCCTGATAAAAACGCTTGCAATATAACAAAGAGTGAACAATTTAAGGGGGTCTGAATACTTTCCGTACCCACTGTATATATATATATATATATATAGCCTATATACATATATTCATATTTATCTCAAAAGATCAAAGAATATGATTCTTTCTTAAAAACAAAATGAAAAAGCGAAAGAAAGAAAGAAAGAAAGAAAGAAAGAAAGAAAGAAAGAAAACTAAAGTGACTCGTGCTGGCACGTTGGTGATTATGAAGATTTCCATTATGCACTAATAGTATTGTGTATCTGGTGACCGCAGATGTGCCCCAACTCCAACAACAGCTTTTGAAACTTGCTTTAACATGCATTAAATCTCACTCGTCTAAACTATTACGGCTACTACCAAACAAAAGGCCAAACTCATACATAACAAATACCGTTTCTATAAGCTCATCAAAGTCAGGAAAAAATAGTGCAAATCAAACAGACATGATACATGCACTCTTCCCCATGAAAACCAAAAGGTAAATAGATTTGCTGTTCTCTACCACAGCCAAAGAAACTTATATAACAACAATTCAACAGAAAACATGACGTCTACATAAACATCAAAAATATGTACAAAACCCATTATAATATGGTCCATAAGTACCTAATAACATCTCAATAAATTAGAATGTCGTGGAAAAGTTCATTTATTTCAGTAATTCAACTCAAATTGTGAAACTCGTGTATTAAATAAATTCAATGCACACAGACTGAAGTAGTTTAAGTCTTTGGTTCTTTTAATTGTGATGATTTTGGCTCACATTTAACAAAAACCCACCAATTCACTATCTCAACAAATTAGAATACTTCATAAGAAAAAATTTTTTTGTGAATTGTTGGCCTTCTGGAAAGTATGTTCATTTACTGTACATGTACTCAATACTTGGTAGGGGCTCCTTTTGCTTTAATTACTGCCTCAATTCGGCGTGGCATGGAGGTGATCAGTTTGTGGCACTGCTGAGGTGGTATGGAAGCCCAGGTTTCTTTGACAGTGGCCTTCAGCTCATCTGCATTTTTTGGCCTCTTGTTTCTCATTTTCCTCTTGACAATACCCCATAGATTCTCTATGGGGTTCAGGTCTGGTGAGTTTGCTGGCCAGTCAAGCACACTAACACCATGGTCATTTAACCAACTTTTGGTGCTTTTGGTAGTGTGAGCAGGTGCCAAATCCTGCTGGAAAATGAAATCAGCATCTTCAAAAAGCTGGTCAGCAGAAGGAAGCATGAAGTGCATGAATTACCAAATTTCTTGGTAAACGGGTGCAGTGACGTTGGTTTTCAAAAAAC